CTCTCTCACATTTTGTACAAGCCTTACAAAGATGTCCCCAGGTGGCCATGATGCATGTGGTCTCCTTGATCATGTTTACTCAAAGTGTGAATTGCTCTTAGTGTGGCTTTCATCTCAGTAATATTAGTATTTCTCTCTTCCAATTCTTTTCTGAGTTCTGCTTTCATTTCTCGTCATCTCTTCTTTAAATTCTCTTTTCTTTTGAGAAATCATGTCTTCTGAAATTGCTTTGCATCAGTGGAGGGTTTTTTGGCTTTGTTTTTGTTTGGTTGGTTGGTTGGTTTTTGTTTTTTCGTTTTCTTGTCTAGGGTCTCCCTGTAGTTTTTGTGTAATTTTCCCTTGGGATGTGCTTTCATCTGCTGTTCGCCTCTGTTCCTTTCCTCCTATTATTTGTGTAACTGTTGCTGTTGCCAGTTTATGTATAGGACCCACAGATGCACTAGGAAGGTGTTTGATTCTGCCAACGCGTCCACATTGTCTCTGGCTTCCACCTTATCTGACTGGGTCTGCACAGTGATGTTCCACTGCTCCTGTGGCCTGTCCCTAAGTTTCATTAGTCTAACCAGAAATCTGTTTTCTGTTTGTCTATGACTTTCCAGACTGTGATCCTTGACTTGGGAGTAGTCTGATTCTTGTTCCATTCCCAAGGAGCCATCACTGACCCAGCGGGCTCCCCACCCCTGTCCAGACATAGCAGTGTTTGGCTGGAGAGTGTCCTAATTTGTGGCTTGGGGTTGTTGCAGTTCCCAATGCTGTTTTTCTCTTGAAGCTGTCTTTGAAGCGAAGCCAGCCCATCGTTTTTCTGTACGACTACATAGGAAAAGAGCCCAAGGCCTTGAAGGAATTTCCTTTCTTAAGTCGGTCTCTTTTACAGGCAGCTGAGATTTCAGCATCAACACAGAGCACCCCAGCTCCACCCGCCCTCTGGCTGAGCTAGTCACTAGGGAGTTCTGGACTGGCTCTGGCCCCTTTGATGGACGAGATAAGGCTTCTTGGACAGTCGCAAGTCTGAGCTGTTCTTAAATCATAACCCAGCAGGACATGACATTGTGGAACTTCTCCCTCACTTAGGAAAAAGTTAAAGAGAATGTGGCCTGAAGTAATCCCCGAAAGGCAACAGCAATAGGGAGCGCAAGGCATGACGGTGGGCCCTGGCTGCCAGCAGCTTGCAGACACCCTAGGAGGACAGACTGCAGCAAGGGGCAATGAGGAGCCAGCAGCCATGGACTGGGGGCAGCCAGGGCAGGGCAGCCCCGGACAGGGAAAGCTCTGTGGGCAGGGTGGACGAGGGCCTGGTGTGAGCCCAGGCTGTGGTGTGCCTGCCAGTTAAGGTTCCTTCGAAATCAGAACTCACAGGTCCTCACGGGAACGGGTTTGCACTGCCTCTCCAGCCCTAAACCTTGGAAAAGACCGAGCTCTGGGGCCAGGAAGGTGGTCACTGGGACACGGGCTCACCAAGCTCTCCCTCGAGGCCACCCTGAGCCCAGATCCCCACTTACCCAGAAGTAAGTTGGCTCCCTGGTGACCAGGCTTCTAGAAGAGTTTCTGGAGCCCTGCTCCAGTGGACTTGTCCCCTGAAGCCCAGTAAGGCCATCACAATGTGTTTGCAGAGCAAGATTCAGGCCCCCACATGAAGCCCCTGTGGGGGAGCTGCTCAAGGCCAGTTCCTGAGTGCTCTCCAAGGGGCAGGCAAACAACCGCCCCCCCCCAAGCAGCCAGCAGGCTTCTCTCTTTTTCATTGTTCAGGGCACTCCATACTGGGGTCCTAGTGGCCTTTTGCTGAATACTGTCACCCCCTCTACAGACAGGAGATGGGCTGGGACCGGGATAGGCATGGAGCCAGGTGGGGGTATCAGCTGCATCTGCACTGGGCTTCAGGGAGGGCAGTCCTCTCTCTCAGCTTCCACTCCTTAGCCATTAGCCATGGATCTGGCCCCACCTATTGGAAACCATGTGGCTCGTGGGGTGGAGCGGCTCTCCACTCCTCAAGGCTCTACCAGCTGCCCCAGGGTACAGGCAAGGACAGGAAGGAGCTAGATGGATGTGGACTTGCACTGTGGGCCAGGCAGAGGGAATAGGAAGGAGACAGAGAGGGAATGTGAACAGTGTTATGGAGGCCTGCTCGTGAGGATGTCTCTGACCACCCCATCTGAGACACTTTAAGTAAAGCACCAGAAGCTCTGGGGAACTAGGCACAGGGGATGGCTCCCCCAGAAGTCTGCTCAGCCTGCTCAGTTGGCTGGAGTCAACCAGTGTGTTCTTCCTCCAATTCACACGCAAACTTCACTTGGGCCTGGGAGGGGTTCTCAGGCCTGTGCCCTACTGCTGACCCCAGATTGGGGGCTCCTCTCTCTCCACCAGACTGACTCCCCCTCAGACTTCAGCTGTAGCACCCAGTTCCAAGATACAAGAGGCAAAGGCCCGCCCACACTGCCCCATACCCCCGGGGCCAAAATCTTAAGCTCCCCTGGCCTGATTTCCCCCAACCTGCCCTGGAGGGATTAGACATGGCCTTCCCAACTCCCAGCCAGTCAGCAGGAGCTGCAGGAGAAATAACCTCTCCCGTGGGGAGGATGGGTGCTCTTTCAGCAGGTGTCATTCAGCTCCTGTACCACATCAAATCTTTAACAGTCACATCTCACTGCAGCTGATCAAAGCACAAAGAAAATTAGCTGAAGAATGGCAGGTGTCTCATGGGTATTTGGGGAGGGCCAGAGAGCCAGGCTTGGAGGCTTTGCAGAGAGGAACAAGGGTCTGAATCACGCTGCTTGTGCTGGACAGGTGCCAAGCACTCCTATGGCTCCCTCCCACAACTGGGCACAGACACTGACTCGCAGCAGTGATATAGGACACGGGTGCTGCCATGAGAACCACAGCTGCCGCTGCTCCTCAAGAAACAAGTCTCAATGCCCTTGCTGTCACCAGCACATCCGAGTGCAATCTCTGTGGCCCCCGTTTCTTCCCATCTCTGGCCCCAGATTCATCTGACCGAGGGGTCCTGATCATGTGCCCAGTCCTAGCTTGAGGGGAGGCTGGAAAAGTGCCAACTGGGCATTTTCTGCTCCTCTCATGTGAGCAGAGCTCAGCCTCATCAAGTGGCAACTTCCTAGGACAGAAGAAAAGCAGTGTCCATTGGGACCACCTAAATTGTCCAACAGCTTCCCACTACCCTTAGTGTGAAACCCAACTACCCCTCCATCCCTAAACATGACCCCTTCAGAGAGCAACCCCCCCCCAGCTACTGTGGGTCCTCATTCATTGTGCATCTCGGTAGCCTGGTCTCTTTCTTTTCCCTGACAGCAAGTCTGTTTGCAAATGGAGGTGGTAGGAAAATGTGCCCATTCTCCCAGAAACGCAAGTGTCTAGATTTTTTCAGTTTCTCAGTAAGTGTTGCTAATATTGTTTCATGGTGAGATTTTCACATTTAGGATAACTCAAAATACATTTGTAGTTCTTCAAAAACCCTTTACTTTTTAATACCGACCTTCTCAATAAGGATGCTATGGCAGTTGGAGGCATGACAGCTCGCATGGCCCCACTCCATTCACTGCACACCTTAAGCAATCTACAATCCCAGGACTGGATGTCAGTGGCCCCCTTAGCTTAGTGAAGGAGAAAACCATGATTATTCCCACTCAATTTCAAAAGGGAAAGTGAACAGGACCATTCCAGGATGACCCAATGGAACCCTAAACTTTGTAAATAGTTTATAAAATAAAGGCAAGGTCCTGATCATATCCTAGTCTTCCGGTCAAAGTGCCTCACGTAACCTCCCACTGGAGAAGTCTCCCGTGGGTACTGGCCAAAAATCTTTTCTCTGGCTCCCTCCTCCAACCCCAGCAGACCCTCCCGACGATTGCCCACAGCAGAGGCGAGACTCAGCTGAAACATGCAATGAAATTTATTGAAGAGAAACACACACTGAAACCATCGAACGGAGGGAATGAAAACAGAGACAGGAACGCCTAACGGCCACGAGAGCCCATAGGTCACGGCCCCCCTCCTCTTGGGGTCCCAAAAGAGGTGCCTCTGCTTCCCCCAACACGGCGGCCCTCCTGCCTCAGCCTCCCTTCCTGAGGGCCCCACGATCAACCTCTGGCCAGGACGCTGGACGCTGGTCATGTCCCCTCACTCCGGGGCACCCTCCCCTCGGGCCGACATGCCGGGGCCTGGTCCTGCCCTATGGCCTGCACAGGACAGTCCCAGGACGCTGGACAACGCAGCATGGGACCCTCGGCCGAGCCAAGGAAGCGGAGTCGCAAGGAACAACAGGGTGGCACATCAGAGCACGGTTCCCGTGGAGACTCCCGCTGGCCACCTCCATCCCTGGTCCGGTTCTTCCTTCCTGAGGTCACGGGGTGAACACCAGCCATACCCTCGGGCATCCTTCCCGCCGTGTCCTGGAACTGGGCTCGGGATTTCTGGGGGGGGGGCAGCTGCTCAGACAAGAAAACACACACATCTCCACAAAAACAAGCAGCGGTTGGCCTAAATGTACACGGAGAAAGCAGAGGTTGAGCTCACAACACTGGAAGAGAGCGAGCAGAGCCTTGGTTCCCGCTGAAGCTCATGGCACGCACGCGGGCCGAGAGGTGGCTGCCCCGGTAGACCAGGACACCCACGGCGGGTTCCTGCACACCTCAAGGCTCTGCACAAGAATGGTCACTAGTGGGGTGGGGGAGTCACTTGAGATGTGGGTCACTAAGGGCCCTACAGAGACACAAGCGGGCTTCCCAGAACATGGAGCAACGTGCCCCAGGGGAAGTAAATGAGTGTCTCCCTCTCGGGAGACCCAAGAGGCTGGCACCTTTGAAATGGCCCCTAACATCTCTCAGTACAGTGTGGGTGGCAGATGGCTTCCGGTGCCCGTCCCCTAGGCTAGGGCCAGCCACTCAGGGACGTTTCCCAGACTGGCTGCCTGAGTTGGCATGGATTGGGGCTGGGGCTGGGTGTGGAGCTGCCCTGGTGGGGAGGCAGCTCTTCCTGCCCCATTTGGTGTCAGGCATGGTCATCTTGGTCATTTGGAAGGGCTAATGGTGCTGGCTAGGGTGCCTTGGGGAGGTGGGGTCCTGGGAATTTGTTTGGGTGAGTGGGCTGTTCCCTCGGCCCTACTCTCAATGTGGGGCGAGGCTGTTGCCCTGGCATGGCCTCCCTCTGCCTCCAGAACTCTGCTGCCTGAGAGGAGAGGGGGCCCCTGGGCCCTCTGAGCCTATTTGCCTGAGGAGGACTTGGGGGGGCTCGTCTCCCCAGCGCCATCCTTGTTTTCCGACTCTTCTGGGATGGGCTTGAGCCCCTCCTCGGGGGGCTCCCCAGCCTCCTGGTCTCCTGCCTGGGCGAGACCCTCTGGCTCACAGCCAGGACCTCCTGGGCCCACCCTGGAAGCACTGCCCATCTGGGCAGGAGTGGGGCCCCCAGGGGCCTCGGAGGGTCTTGCCTGACCTAGGCCCACAGAGGAGGGAGCATTTTCATCTTCCTGAGTGGCAGGGAAGGACTTGGAGATCTCCTGAGGGGCAGGGGCAGCCGTGGCAGCATCATGGGGTTCAGGAGCAGCCCTACCAGCTTCGGCAGTGCCAGGAACTGCCTCACTGGCCTCCACATTCACTGGGGCAGGCTTGGCAGTATCTTCGTCGGCTGGGGAGGCCTTGGTTTCCTCTGCACCGGCAGGGGTGCCCTCGG